TGTCGAACTGTGATTGGTTGTAAACGTGTTACAGGATGTTGTATCATCAGCTGCTCTGCGCTGAGGCGGCAGCCACAACTTGACAGACTTCTCTGACTTCTGCTCTGTTGTTGCTCAGATTAAATCATTTGACGACCGTACACGCAGACTTCATGTGCATTTATTCCAACGTGTTTCTGCATTTTTAGTAAATCTTGCCAAAAACGAGAAGTTAGATTTTCTGTAATAAAGCTGCACAAAACTTTTCCCCAAAATAAAAACCTGTCTAAGGGCTGCGGCCAAATGCAATAAAATAATTCATGAAATACAAATACTTTTAAGTATAGTCCTTTTATTCTTAATGATTAAGCTAGCAGCCAGTGTGGTGGTCCATGTTTTTGACTAACTGCACTACAGTTTATTATGGTCGTTGGGTCAATGAATGGATGACTTCAGGTGAAAATACTGTGTTTCTACAGAGGACCACAGATTATAAGCATGGCAGCTGGGCCAAATCAAATGACTTGGTGGGCCAGTTTTAGCCCACAGGCCCCACTTTGGGGGGGTGCAACGATACAGGAAATTCATGGTTCGATACTTTAGTCTCAGTTTGATATTTCTTCGATACAAAAAAAAGAGAAATGTCCATGCCCCTTTTAACTTGTAATTTATTTAAATTAACTATGAACATTTGTTTAACCTCAAAAGAACAGTTTTTTTTAATTAAATGTTGCTGAAACAGCAAGTTTCTCAGTGGATCTGCGCTCAAAAATGCAGCCTAGGTGGAGTAGTCGAACACAGATCCACTGATCCTTCAACACAGAGCATCTTCAGAAGACAAGCTGATAAAAATAATTTTAAAAAACTGTTTTGTTCGATACAAGTGTGCATTAAACCTAAAGCTCTGTTTGATACGGTTCGATACGGGTACATGTTGCACCCCTATTGTTTACTTAGCAAACTTTACTAATAACTCTGTTAAACATGAGAATAATAACTAGAAACAAACATAGTAACTATGATACTAATTTGTATTAATTTACGATGATTAAAAATTTGTAATAATCATGATGAAAATAATCCATTATCATTTTTTTTGCATTTAAATTGATGTCTGAAAGTCACCTGGGGACCCTCACTTGATGTTTTGTGACCCACAACTTTGGGAACCTCTACACGAGATAAAATATTAATATTCTGCACAGAAAATATTTTCTCATGTTGACTCTGAGGAATGCTCCATGTGTCAGCTGGGATTTTAGTGCTTTAGAATTAGGGGACCTAAATATTAAAGTTAGTGCTTTAGAATTAGGGGACCTAAATATTAAAGTTAGTGCTTTAGAATTAGGGGACCTAAATATTAAAGTTAGTGCTTTTGGGTTAGTGCAACTAATTTTTAGATTAGTGCTGCCCACCACTGGTTTTATGGATAGTATTTATTTTTTTACAAGCTGGAATGAAAACAAGCAAAAACTGTCTACTTTTTGCCTTTTTTCAATGTAAAAAGTAGGCTGAAAAATAATTACTCAAGTAAAGTACAGATACACAAAAATTCTACTTAAAGTACGGTAACAAAGTATTTGTTACTGTGTAACTCACTCTGGGGGTTTATTCCCTATAAATGTATCCCTGTTTGTTGTTCTGCTGATTGTGTGAAAAGCAGGTGAAACTGCGAGGCAGGTAAATAAACTTCGATGCAAATGAGAAAATAAAGTGTAAAAATAAAAGCGTTACTTTATTACCTCGGTGGAAACTGCAGACAGAGCTAATTTGGCGGCGCCATCCAGCGCGGTATCTGGGTCAGGGATGATTAAACTAATGAGTGGATGTGTTGTGTTTGCAGCGAGAGCTCGTGTAAAAGGTGTGCGGCCCTGACCCGTTCGCTCTGTCGGCGTGAAAACGTGCAGGACTCTCCCCGTCTGCTGTGACGGCACGGGAGTGTGAGAGCTCTGTTGAGTCTCCTCGGAAATCAAGAAAGAAAGTCACGAGAAGTTGAGTGCACGTGTGAGAGGCTTTGAAAAGGTCAGCAGAGCTGTGGGCTTGATGAAGACCCCCCTGCAGGCTCCTAGAACAGCTGCAGAGTGGTTCTCTGAGATGTGACAAGTTCTTAGGGATTTTATTTAAGATGCTGACAAAGACTTGACGTTTTCACAGCCAAGTAACTTTTACAGACGGGTCACAACACATTTCATTTTAAAAATATACATAAAAACAAAAGAAGACATCAATTGTAGTTGTTTACAATTCACTAGCTCAGCTGCTAACACACCAAATGAGCTAAATATCTGTAAAACTGGCTTATTTTGCATCATTTTCTATATTATAGCTGAGTGATTTATACATCAATAAATCAATAGTTAACAGATTTAATTATAACTAAATGTCCCTTAAAATATATCAAATAATTATGTGCATTTGTTTTAAAGAGACTTGAAAACTTTACAAAATGTGCTATTTGAAAGCGTTTTCCACAAGCTACAAATCAAACGCTCAGTGCTGTTTCCAGCCACAGAGTACCCTGGAGTGTGTCAGGGTTGATGGATATCTCTCATGAGAAAACAGGCCCACAGAAAGGTGCCTCGCTGTTGTGTTGCACTTCTGTATTCAAGCCACGGAGGTTGGGAAAAGGAAAAAAAAAACGACTGTATTAGCAGGTTTGTCATGTACCGAGTGGTGGGATTTATTACAGCTAGAAGCAGTTTTAAAACAAGTTGGGTCCCTGCCAGGAAAGTCTCAGAGCAATATCTTCATGGATTGGAAAATGCATCCAGCCTTCTCTGGCAGCAACGTCTCTGACAATATTTATTATAGTATAGTTAGAACCTGCTGGGAAATCATGTATGTGGGGCTTCAATAAAACTACAATACAAATAGCAACTGTTGTAAAAGTCCACAAACTGGGTTTGCGCTCTGGTTTCTTTCATCATATCTAACAAACGTCATTATTTTTATTCCCAGGAAGCACAGTGCTCAGATCTCAGATCAGATTTATTAACAGGCAATTTTTTATTTGTTGTAAGTCTAAAACATGTGCATCGTTAAACAAATTTCAAGTTTTCTTTTAATGTAATCAGGTCACAGCTCTAGTCAAATCTAGTTTATTACCTGGAGGTTTGTAGTGAAACACTGCCACCGTGTGGCCAAGCGTGGAAACAATTTATCAAATCACATAAACGATTGTAAATATATTTGACATCTTGTATGTAAGATTGTATAAGGAATTACGTTTCATTTAAATTTTATTGACTGCGTTGAGTTTAGTAATATTAATTTATTCAAATCGCGCTCCTAGAAGAGGAAAAATATCGATTAACGGAACCTGTTAGAGACACCGGACTCGTTTTTCGGTTACACCGGAAGTGAAGTTTTCTTTTCCCGTCCGGAAGTGCGCAGAGCTTGTTGAGCGCTTTGTGGTCATGTTCAGGAATGTTGTGAGCAGACTGGTGACTGAGTCGGTCGGTGTTGGCCGTCAGGTGAAACACAGCGAGGTGGTCAAGAGTCTGACCGCGGGCCGCGCGTCGGCCAGGAGCTTCACCGAGGCCACGGACGAGGCGCAGCCGCCTTTCGACTCCTCCCTGCTGGACTTCCTGGTGTGTCCGCTGTCCAAGAAGCCACTCAGGTCAGACAGCATTCCTGCTTTAAATTAAAACATTCACACAACTTAGTCAGGTTTATTTTCAAAATCCGACGTATGTCTGAATTTCTGCTTGAGTACTTTTAATCAAAGTTGACGTTTCAAGTATTAAAAGGTAGAAAATTAAAAGCTCAGCATATTGAGATCTCGCGAGATGTTCTGTCAGTTAAAATATCTATTAAAAAAACAAGTAGCACTTTTGTATTTAACTGAGTCACTCTTTCAAATAGACTATTTCTTAGAAATTTATTACAAATGGAGAAGCTTATCTTGTGAAAATGTCTTTGTAATTGTGCAAATTCAACAAGCTCATAAAGCAGTTAGATTAGATATTTATGAGAATTATCTATGATCCTAAAGGGGAGTTTAACACAAATCAGTTTAAATACATCGGGGCTGTATAAGAGTGTAAATTTACCTGTTTAATTTGTGTAATTACAGTGGTGTTTCTGTAGAAAACTGTCTTTTCCCAATTAACATATGAGGTCAGCTCGCTTTGTGCATTTCTGATCATTTCTAACTACAAAACGATCTGTTGCAGCTGCTTAATTTAACTATAAGTGTATTAATACTATTGAATTTTACAGTAAAGTTAGATGAAGATGGGCCAAACCTTTTACAGAGTAGCAGCTGATTCATAGTGTGAAATATTACTGATGTTTTAGCTGCTTTTTCATCAAACAATAAAATAAATGTATTCCAGATGAATGATTTAGGCATGACGTTTTTTAATCCTTCCACCAGGTATGATGCTAAGACCAACGAGCTGATCAACGAGGAGCTCGGCATCGCTTATCCCATCGTTGACGGCATCCCTAACATGATCCCCCAGGACGCCAGGCTCATAAAGAAAGACGAACCTGAACAGTGACAGGAACTGCACAGAGCTGAGGGACTGAGGCAGCACCTAGCTAAACAGATAATATTTTAGGACTTGTCGGGATGTTCTCCCTGGCGTTGATGGTGGGACTGGTCCCTCTCGTGTCCCTCATCGGTCTGATCTACTCGGCCTCCGTGGACGAGAGCTTCCCTCAGGGATGCACCAGCAGCGGCAGCGTGTGTTTCTACAGCCTGCTGCTGCCGCTCACCCTCCCCGTCTACGTCTTCTTCCACCTGTGGAGCTGGATGGGGATCAAGCTCTTCAGACACAACTAAGCTGTTCTCTCAGTTTCCTCCTGCAGCCTTTAATTATTAGATCCCTAACTGTGTGTTTATTCTTGGATAGTTACAAAACTTAATAATGAGTTTATTTTATCTGTCAGGATTTCATGTTGCTGTTTATAACACTGTAGGTACCGATTTTCCTTATTAATAATAATAATCTGTCGTAATAAACATGTCCTAACACCTGCAAAACAAACTGCTGTAAAATTATTAACTGTAGAAATTTACATCTGTGCTRAATAAACATCAGTTGTGTAATAAAAACTAAAACGTCCACTTCATTCTGATAAATTACTTTTAATTAATAAGATTAATTTTACACAGAACAATGCTATCGGCTGCAATTTGATGTTGCGTTAAATAAACAGCAGCTCTAACTTGTATATGCTGCAAAAATCACAAAACGAACACAACTTAAAAACTTGAAATAATTTTCAGATCTTATGCGTGTAATAACTACTCTATAACAGATTGTTTGAAGCCTTTACAACCTGAACTCATGTAGAGAAAACTAAAACACAAGAACACGGAACATGTTCCAGATGTGTTCAAGCATCTGGTCAAAAACAAAAAAGAGGCCGCTCGTTGATTCACGTCAAATTCCTCAGCGGCGCTTTTTGCGTTTTGTGTCTCTGCCCTGAGAAAGTTTCATGAGCGGTGAGTCGGGCCGAGGGGACGGGCCGTCTCCTTTCGTCTTGAAGAAGAAAGGTTTGTTCAGTCTCAGCTGAACCGCTCCGACCTGACACTGGAAGAAAAGTTTGTTATTCAACCTGTGATGAAATTATTCAGATGAATAAACACAACAGTGAATGATCAGGGTTGGTTTGTTGAAGAGGTATAATGTGTGATTACAGCGGGTAAAATAAGTATTGAACACGTCACCATTTTTCTCAGTAAATATATTACTAGAGGTGCTAATG